CACATAGTAGGAACCTAGCAGGAATTTTGTTGATGAGTTTAGTCTGTGTTTCTAACTTAGGCAACCAAGGTAGGTCTTACATAGGAATGTCCTGGAAATCCACAGAAAAGATTCAATTAATATAGCACAGAATCTTTTTATTTTTTTGAGGGGGGGGCACAAGTGAGTAAAGGGGAGAGAGAGAGAGAGAAGCAGGGTCACCCAAAGCAGGGCTCATGTTTTACCCAAAGTAGGGCTCGAGCTCACCCGATATGGGACTAGAACTCATGAACCGTGAGATCGTGACCTGAGCCAAAGTCAGATGCTTCATGACTGAGCCACCCAGGTGCCCTAATATAGCACAGAACCTTAAGAAAAACAAAACAAACATCAACAAAACTAGATTCTGAGCCCAGACTGTCTTCCAGTGCATTTCAGGGCTCGGGTATGGGATAGCTAGGATTTGCTCACCAGAAATTTAAAGTAGAGCACACTGCAAGCAGCTGTCTTCACGGCCTTCCTAAAGGCCAAGCACACATGTGACTGTGGACAGGGAGAGATGTCACTTGGTGGTAGCTAGTTTTAGGAAGCGGAGTTTGTGATACGGATGGGAGAGAGGAGTGAGTGTCCTTCCTTCTCTCCTCAGTGGGCTGACACCACAGGAAGCTTTTCCCCTAACTCTGAAAGGACTACCTCTGCAGACAAGGCTCACTTGCCAGGCACTGTGCTTGGCTAATAAGACAGCAATGGAAGGGGCACTTTCTAATCTCAAGGAATTTACTCTCATGCAAGTGAATGAAGACACCAAAGAAAGTCAGAACCTTCCTGCTGTAGTACCTTCCAAATCTCAACCCACCTAGGGCTGTCCTGCCTTTAGCCCTGATTCTCCAAAGCATTCCTCAGTTCATGCACAAACTAAGTCAAAGACCCATGGCTGAATTTGTAGCAAATGCTAGCTGAGGCAACACTAGCCCCTAGAATATGCCAAATCAAAATCTCACTTTAGGGCGCCTGGGTGGCTTAGTCGGTTAAGTGTCCAACTTCGGCTCAGGTCATGATCTTGTGGTTTTTGAGTTCAAGCCCCACTCGGAGCCTGGAGTCTGCTTCAGATTCTGTGTCGCCCTCTCTTTCTGCCCCTCTCCCGCTTACAGTCTGTCTCTTTTTGTCTCTCAAAAATAAACATTAAAAAAAATATATCAAAATCTCACTTTAAAAATTCTAAGACCTATGAAATTAGTTTATTTTGTGTAGGTAGCCAATTTTTAACTTATTGATCTTTCAAACTTTTATTTTCTGTCCTCTACTAGAAATGTTGATAAAAGGATGGGGCACCTGATAAAAGGATGATGCTCAGTCGGTTAAGCAACCGATTCTTGATTTTGGCTCGGGTCACGATCTCACAGTCATGAGATCAAGCACCACATTGGGCTCTATTGACACAGAGCCTGTCGTGGCTCTCCCCAAAACATGAGATCACGACCTGAGACAAAAATCAAGTGGGACACTTAACCGACTGAGCACCCAGGTGTTATATTTTTAAGTCACTTCAGAAAAGGCTAATAAAAATATCTATAAAGATAAGCTACACCTTAAACACGACATACAATTAAAAATCAATCTTAACAGCTAATACAATACAGTAATCAATTTCCTCTTTTCTAATCAGTTCTGAGCATCTATATACACTCTCTTAATTTCCACATTAAGTCTATGAGAAAGTTCTATTCTTAGCCTGATTTCAGGATGAGAATACGGAAACAGCAGGCAGAAGTTGAGAAGAGAGTGCCGACAGCACATGAGGGGGGGATGAGGAAAACCCCTCCAAGTCCATATTTACTGAACTGAGTTTAACGGGGATGAGGAAAACCCCTCCAAGTCCATATTTACTGAACTGAGTTTAACGGGGATGAGGAAAACCCCTCCGAGTCTATATTTACTGAACTGAGTTTAACCAAAACCTGAAAGAAAATCAGAAATCCCAATGGAACCAAACTGAGTTAGGTGACTGAGCATACAGCACAGAAGAAAAGTCACACAAAGGACAGACGCAAGTTACTGGGCATATATGAATTAGCCTTGCTTGACCTTTTGAGGAATGATGAAAATGATTTTTAAGATTCTGACAAAGACATCCCTAATAATTGTCAGGAAAATAAAGACAGCAATGTGGAAAAGATAATCCAGAAAAGGCAGCAATGTCTTTAATAACATAAACCAGTTTTGTTGTAGATTTAGGATACCAAAGCCTGAAATAAAAATCTATCATTTAATGAAAATTATTAGTTCATTTAAATATCATTAACATGTTTCTTTTTTTTATTTTTTTTTAAATTTTTATTTATTTTTGAGAGAGAGAGAGAGAAAGAGGGAGGGAGGGAGGGAGAGACAGCATGAGCAGGGGAGGGGCAGAGAGAGAGGGAGACACAGAATGTGAAGCAGCCCCAGGCTCCGACGCAGGGCTTGAACTCACAGTGAGATGATGACCTGAGCCGAAGCTGGAGGCTTAAGAATTTAAAAATCAGAACACATTTTTCCAACATAAGCAGGTCAGTAAAAATTACACTGGTGTCTCAAACATTTAACAAAAGTTAAAATAGTTTTTGAAAACATGCAAAAAATATATATAGCATACTGTCACCAAAAATCATGAAACGGAGTATTATAAATCATGGGTCTTAGAGCAAGCATTCCTGGTCTGACTCATAGTCTAATCAGACAGTACCTAGTTTAGTTTAGGTTGCATTGCACACATTAATTGGCCTCTTTCCTCATTTGAAAAAAAAAAAAAAAAAAAAAAAAAAAAAAAAAAAAAAAAAAAAAAAAAAGGTTGTACCAAGAGAACCTACTTTATAAGGCTGTTCCAAGAATAAAACAAAATAATAAAACAGAATAATATTTGCAATGCTCTACTTGGTACATGGGAGGGGCCCAACATGTGTTAGCTGCTATTTTCATTATATAAGCATTTATTATTTATAAATAAAAGACACCAAAGACAGAAGTAAAAAACCAATTCCCTAAAGAAACTTAAATCCACCAGAAAAAAGTAATGCACACCTGACCAGCTATTTTAGCAACTGTTTTTTAAAATCCTGTCACATTTGATCTGAAGACTGAAAGAGAAGCACCAGACTGGTTGTTAACTATACACGTACATACTGATGTGGCTTTCTACAGAGGTATGTGGGTATATTTTCATGGAAGACAAAATATTGCATATATCATTATTTCTAATTTGGTATCCCTGGGGTTTTCCCAAGGCAAAGAAATAAGCCTAGGGAAACTATAAAAAGCAATTGCCCATAGTTAAAAAAAACAACCACCAACAACAAACTGATCTGTAAACGCCAAAGCAACTGCCTGCAACCCAGACCGGTCACACCTGGGTGGTGTCTGTACCACTCCGAGGGCATTTTTTAAAAACCTTGCAGGGGCGTCTAGGTGGCTCAGTCGGTTAAGCGTCCGACTTCGGCTCAGGTCATGATCTCACGGTCCATGAGTTCGAGCCCTGCGTCGGGCTCTGTGCTGACTGCTCAGAGCCTGGAGCCTGTTTCAGATTCTGTGTCTCCCTCTC